TTGAGCGATTCTTGAAGAAAAAAGAAGCGGCATAGCATTGTTTCTCAGCTGAATGTGAACATCTGTGCTTGAAGCTTGTGCAATTCAGTATCTTACGAGTGTCGGTGTACTCAAAACTCAAGGGATTAAGCATTCGGCAGAACTGGTAGAGAAACCTGAGCGATTTCTCTTCAGGCATGTCTCTCTGGAGAGCTATGGCTCCATATTTTTTACATTTGTGTGGAGTTGAAGGGTGATATCATCTCCGATTATTGAAGGACAACTGTGTCATCTCTTGATTGCAAAGTAGGGGCAAAGTTCTTTAGGGCAAACTTGAATGTTTGCACTTGTGCAAAATTGTGTAAGCACAGAAGTCCCTTAATGGATTTGTAGTCTGTGGGGTCGAAATGATAATCTCCTTAACCTTTGAGACTGATGTAATGTCCCTGGAGTTCTGGCATTTATTGAGCACAGACTAAGCTTACCCGCGCTTACGGTAAGGTTCGTTTTGTCATTTGCATGCAAGGATGCTTTGTAGTTCTTTGTAGCCATCAAGCATTTCTGTAACTCAGTCAGTGCAGAATCTCATTGTTTTACTCTGAAAAAAGGATTGCCGGCTGAATCTAATTCTAAGCTGTCACAAACATCGAGATGTGTGCACATGACTCGTTGATTTGTCCGGAGATTAGCAAGCCATTGAAGCATCCAATGACGCACTTTGCAACGGATGCTGCCTTTGATCGAGGCGCGTCCGAATATCATTTATCGCGGAAACGCTCTTGCGGCTTCAGAGTGTGATCTATGACGTAAAAAAGTTCAGAATTGTGGTAATTTGATTTTCGCAGATTAGCAAAGAAATATCTGATTCTCTTGCCGGGATACACTTGAGCGCGCATCTCACGCTTTGTTTCCTAGAGCTTTAGAAGAGTGGATTATCTGCAGATTCCATCTTGTGCACAGAAAGGTAGATCTATACATTATTCACCTTACTAACATCAGATGTTAGACTATGCCTACTTCCATTAGCGCTAGCAGAATTTTTTTCTAAGGGAAAGAAGGGATGCGAAACTCTGAAAAAAATCTTTCGCAACACTTAATTTTCCCGAAGTTTATAATCTTGACCGAGCAAAAGCTGGCATCCCGCAATGCCGATTTGGTGGAAACTTTTACAAGAAAATTTCACCTACTAAAAGTCAAAGGTCTATAGTTGCATCATCCGTAATTTGTATTCAGAAGGTGCATTGCGCAGCACGGGCCACACTTATACTTGTGAATTGCCAACTCTGAAGATATCCTTTTTTCTGTTTTCCTGAGTCTTAATTGGGTACAAATTTAAGAAATGATCGTCTTTGAATTGTGAGATGTTATGTGCTGCGTGCAATCTGACCTGCTTACCTTCACTCAAAGTGAGGTCAACTCAGACAAATTATCGGAACTTCCGCAGGACAAGCCAAATTTGCAGAAGTTCCGCAACATTTTGTTCAACCATTGCGAAAGCTGAAAATCGGAACTTCCGCGGGATTTCCATGCCAAACTGGTTGAAAACCGGAACTTTAAAAAAAAACGGAACCTTCTATAAAGTCCTGAAATTCCGGAAAATGCCAGAGGATCCGCAGCACTTGGCCCTGCCAGAACTTCCGCAGGACTTTGAATATGTTGTCTCGTGATGTTACCTCGCCAACAACTAGAGTGCATTATCAAACATGTCAGCCGTAGCGTAGAGGATAGTAGGTGGGTCTCACAGTCAATAGAGTGAGGTTCAAAGCTCGCTTCGGTGTTCTCTTTTGCTGTTGTGGTCGGCATTCTTCGGAACTTCCGCTGCACGTTTACGGAACTTCCGCAGGTGAGCCGGCGGAACTTCCGCAAGCCCTCGGCGGAAGTTCCGGTCATTTGTCTGGGAATAAGGTTCTGATGCTCTACACTAGCGGGTTCCCGACTAGATAATTGCCCAACTCATGCTGCTAGACATTGCTTCCAAAGCGAAGAAATCGCTTCGGAAGGATCCGCCCCAAAACCCGCTTTTAGGATCCCCCTTTGAGTGGGCAGCACGTTGGCTCCGCCCACACAGTGATTTGCCCTAGCAGACGGAAAAGTAAACTGGGCATGCGCAAGGAGTTCCCGTCCACAGTGTATCCTGAAGGTCATTCGAACTTGATATTCTGAAAATAGCGTTTTATTTTAGGCTTGGATTCGAATTCTTTTTTTGCATCCTTTCAGCTTACGAGAGAGGTGCGAAAATGATAAAAGAAAACTTTATAACGACAATTGGATGGACGGTGCCTAGATGATGATGTTAAGATGTTCACTATATGTGCATAATTTATTGTTCTTTAGAAGACTTCAGGAAAGTCGCTACTCACTTCTTGGCAAACTAGCTTAAAGTGCTGCACACTTATCGTGAACAAAAACATCCATTTGTGAATTACGCTTTATCGTAAGAGTTTGCTTCAAGAAGAAGAGCACATCTCACTTGAATGCACTTTTACCATCGCTTCTGATTCCCTCGCTTCCCCTTGTCCCTTTCCCTTCCTTCTTCGCCATCTGATTAGGGCTTTTGCATCAAAGTAAGTAGTTGATAATTCAAATCGGATGACCATCGATACTGGAAATCGGATGACCATCGATACTGGAGGCTTCGCGGAAGCAAAGATTATCTAGCAGCTTGCAATTAGATTATATGTAAGGGTTCTAGGCCGCAGGAAAAGATTATATGTCAGCCATTACGGTGATGATTTGACTTGTGATGTGATAACAAAAAACTAACGGCAGTGTTCACTACTTTCATGATTTTAAGGCGCGCTACTACGTGCTTGATGTTTTTCCGCTTCCTAAGAGCTAGCGATTTGGCGGCTAGTACTTGAAGATGTTGAAAACGTCAGCGACTACCCATTGGATGTTTTTGAAAAGTTAACCATAACGAAAAGTGAAACTAGCCGGTAGTAGTCGTGATATCACTAGAATGTATAATAGGAAAGCTCATCGAGATTTCAAAAACTTAGTTGGAATTTCGGAGAAGAGCCATAATGATGCAAGAAATCGCATTTTCAAAAGCTCATCGATTTCTGAGAGAATAAGTTTGTATAAAATCAAATCACAGACAAATCGCATTCTAATCGGATTTTAGAAGTGTGGTGATACTTTCCTTTTTGGAATATCATAGACAGATTCACAAAACTGTTTGCTTTTTGAGGGATGATTCAAATTGGATATTTATCTTCACATTAGCAGAGCCATGTCTCTAACTCAAGCAAGGATGGCAGCCCAGTTTAGTCCTTTTTTGAAATGGGTTTTAGACAATTTCGGAAATGGAGAGAAATGGGCTTCCTGGGTGGTCATCCATAGTCAGTATTGAAATCTGAGCTGGAAATTGGATTTGCCAGCCATGTCAAATGCGGCGAGCGATCTAAGCATTTGGCACTAGGAATGACATCAAGAAGAAGCTGCGCGTCCGTTAGTGTGTTGGCAGCCATCACGGCATCATCGGCACCACACAGCCCCTTGAGAGTTCGATGCGCTCGAGCTGCTGCTCTGCCGATTCACGAGCTCGAGCCCTCCGATAGTCACGCCGCCCTACTTTGCCGCTTTGCTACCTCAAACCTCTTCTCGGAGAGCACATTCACCTCGTTGAGACGACTAAGCCCCGATGTTTGCGGGACGTCGCTCGACTACGACTACATTCGGCACATCGTCGCCGTCTCCGTCGTCGTCGATTTTCGTCGAGACCCCGTGGCGACGATTTCCGATTATGTTGGCGAGGCTGACGGACTCTGGAAGACGTTCCAGAGAGAAAGAAGCCGTGCGCGGTTCTGTTGGACGCTCTGTCAGCTGCTTCGCGATGGGATCTAGTCTTTCTATTTCTGTTTCTCCAACCCTATCACCGTCTTGCCTGTCACCAGTCGCGCAGCTAAGGGTCAGTTGAGCAGTAGTTTATTGTCACAGCCCTACTTTGTACTGCAAGTTGCTACATAAAGCTATATTCTCTATATGCTGTCAAACGAAGTGGTGCCAGCCACCAGCCAATTCTGGCGCAATTCTGCCCAGTTTATGGTATTAGCAACCGATATATGGGAAGCTTATACTCTTTTTTCGAGTGATTTGTCCCTATCAAATGTCGTTGTGGAATTTATGGAGATTAGAGCCAGGCTTGCACGGCTCATGTTACTAGTTGCAAGTCGAAGGTTCTTGGAATAAGTGATGCGATGGACCACTCTGCAAGAGTAATTCATTACTCAAGGCTGAAGCTTATTTAGAAAAATTATATTTTTGCTTCTACACCAAATATCCCTTTTTTGGCTGTTAGGGGTGTTAGGGTAGCATTAATTCAGAGAGAAATTCTTTTGGAATAATGATGCGGAGCGCTTTAATTCTTTCTACTTGATTGATGAGCTTTGGTGACTCTCCGTTTTGGTCATGATTACTGCTTTATCCATTTCTCGATGACTTCGCATTTCTTGGCTTTGTTGTAGGATAGGATTTTCTGAGAAGCATCATCATTGCTTTCGTGCCAGTTTGTTTTGCATCAGCTGCTGCATGCTAATTTGTTTGGCAGCTGTGTGGTTGGTTACAACAAAGCCATATTTATTTTGGGTGAAAGCGTCTTTCTTTGGAATGATAATGCTGTGCAGGGCAGTGAGCTGAAATACCACTAAAAGTACTGGCTATCTACCGTAATACATGGGTAAGATTACTTATAAGAGCAATAAATTCATTTTCGGATGATGAGCACCTCCGAGATGTATCATTGAGAAATTATACACCTAGGTCCTAGTCATGCGCCTTGATTTGACTTGCTAAAAGTGCAGCCATCGTCCTTTCTCGCTAAGTAGCAAAAATCGACGGCATCTTCAATTATGTATGAAGTGAAGCGTTTCCATATATAGTTGCGACTTCTTAGAATGGAAATGCTTTTGGGAAAATTAGAGTTTGAGCTATACAAATTTCAATAATCAGCTTCTTCACAGTAAAATAGAAGCAAAAGGGGCACTAAGATTGCTGAAATTTGATTATCATTGTATTTGCAGAAGGATGTCCAAACTCTCTCACAAACAACGCGATCCAGTGCTGCACGCAGAAGTCTGAACGCCTCGACTTCGCCGGTACTCACTCAGCGATGTCGAAGTCCAAGTCGTGGTGGAGGTGTCGGAAGCAGTGCCACCCTGACTACAAGAACAACAGCTCCTGTTGGGGTTCCGCTGAGGTAGGAAGCAAAGAAATCTATAGTCCTTTTTTCTTTCATTCGTTGATTTCCCTTTGCGTTTTGTCTATCGTTCTATCTATCTTTATTATAGTCACTTTAAATTTTCTCTCTATTTAACGTTTTCGTGGCTCACTCTTCTTTCGAATGGGCCCTTCTTCAAAATTCTGTTGACGCAAAAGCCTTGACAAGCCAATGCATTCCTGAAAGTTTCCCAAAATGTCAACGTTCTCTCCGTTCTGCATGTCCTTGCAAGTACATCTGGCATTTTAAGATCGTACTCTTCACGAACGGGAAGTTCACTAATGGCACCACAACATGACAATCGCCGTTGGTCTTTAGCATCGTTGCCATCGACCAGCGGTTATGGAACCCCTGGGAGCAATTCAGCATTTTCGGTACGCAGCCGAGAGTTGCGCATGAGTGCTTGTCGGAATGCAAAGAATTGTTTTAGAGCCAGTATTCATCGTCCGAGCATTTGTCAGAAATGTTGGAGTGCATGCGAGTCGGCGCCGGCCGCTTTGATAGCAATGACAGTTGCCCTTCCGCAGAAGATGCGATGAATACGAGTTTTAGGCCAAGAAGTAGAAGTTTGACGTGAGTCATGGAAGTTTCGATTCTTTCAGTGACATAAAGGGCATTTTTGCGTAGTTCCAGAGTTGGTAGATAAACTTCTTTTGTTCATTGATTCTATTGTTAATTGAATGATCAGTTTTTGCATGTAAGAAACTTTTCGTTACAGTTCCAAATGTAAAACAAAGAATATATCGCAATTGCTCACTGATTTTTTCGAGTTCTAGGAGCCCCATCAAATTGAACTCTGACTTTTCCATGGAGGTTGTCAACCGCAACAGTGTCTACAAAGAACGATTTCCAAAGGCAAGTTGATGTTTTCCTTTTTTTCTCTGCACATTGAATCCTGCGTTTTTTCTTTCGACTCTTTCCTTTATTCTTTGAATTGCTCCGTTTCCTCTTTGTAGAGTAACTATTTGAAAGATCCCCATCGAGAGTTTTTGAAGATGACTTGAAGTTTTCAGGCCAAAGCGCAAATGGAAGAGAAATTAGCCTCTTTTGTTGCTGAACATGCGCCTCTCAGTGGTGGCTCTTCAACGGGAGATGCCGATCCTGGCTTGGATGCGGCAGGAAATCGTCGATCCATGGTGATTTTTTTTGCAACTTCCGATCCTTTTTTCTTTGCATATCCATGCACCACTGCGATTCTTGCATGTCTGCGATGCGTGCAGTTAGATTCGTAGTAATTATTTTTCTCGTTTCCTTTCGACGTTATTTGCCATTTTGAACAAGAAAAAATTTAATTCATTTCTGCGTGTACATGAAAGCTGCAGAAAAAGTAACCTTTTCATTTCCAGGTGCTGGAAATCGAAACCTGTGTGGATCGCACTCTTCTTCGATTGATTGGCGATGGAGCGACAAGGTTTTTGCACCATCAAATTGTCGAAGTGAGTCGTGCAGAATAACCAGTTTTTCTCGAAAGATCAAGTGTTGATATCTGAGAATTCGGTGGAAATCATTTATCAAGTCGCAGAAATTGATCCTTCTATGGCATGTCCTGTCAATGAACTCAGGAATTATTGCTGATTCCGTTGTCTTTCAGGTTGCTTCGGATTGTCTGGCACGATCGCGTGATGAAACCATCTCATGTTCGTACTTCTGCGAGATGAGTCAGAGATTGGATGAAACTCTGAATGAGGTAGGGGTAACATCTTTTTTATTTCACTGGCTTTACTTATTTTGGTACTTTTCAAGGCACAACAAAAAACATCACAAGAATCATTTGCCTATCTGTCAAAGCTAGTTAAGCAGCTACTGATGATAGTGAGTCGGCCAGCTCGATTATTGGAATGTTTGGTAAGTAATTTTGGTGTGCACTTTTTGGGGGTAGTAAAAATGTTACTTGTTCAGGAGTTTGATCCGGACGAGTTTTACCATCTGCTTGAGGAAGCTGAAGGTGTGGTTCGAGAGCAGCTTGGTAGTGGTACTGCACGTGTACCAGATCTGCCACAGTACATCATTGGTGAGTAATAATTTCTGACGAATTTTCACGTCAAGAGCCTTTAGAAGTGACTAATCACTTTACCTAGCGCTCAACGGGATGTTTTTAACATGTCTTGGCATAGTCGTGAGATATTCTCCAACTAAAAATATCGTCAAATATACTATAGCCTACAGTTTCATGCAGCGCTGAAACTGGCTTTGTTTAGGTAAACTTGGTCTGGACAGAGACCCGTTGATGGATGTGGATCCACGTGCGGAATCACCGCCTAATCCAGCCCCGTCGGTGGCATCATCCCGTGACGATGAATCGACAGCTGGCTCGTCCAAGGGCGGTGAACAACCACAGAAAGCGCCTTGTGAAGATGACTTTGAGACGATCAGGGTTAGTAAGCTTTCATAATTTTTTCTCAAATGAGTCGCGGTGTCGTACAAAAAAATAGCACAAAAAAGTGTGGGTTTATGAAATGGGCATCCTTGATAGTATTTGGATCATTAGTTTAGTAAAACTTCCTAGAAGCTGTTTCCACTGATATGGAATGACATGCTCTAATTTTTTTCTTTCGCCTAAGCTCATCATTACATAATTTGCGAGCCTTTTTCTTTATGAAGAATTCAAGATATTCATTGATATTTGTAATTTCAACAAGCTTTTTTCCCAAATCATGTTTATGTGCAACTTTAGTACATGTACTCCAGACAATAGAAATCGTTTACAGCTTGTCAGTAATGGTGCTTACGGAGCTGTGTATCTTGTACGACATCGGGAAACAAGACAACGTTATGCTCTCAAAAAAATGAATAAACAGACTCTTGTACTTCGCAATCAAGTGGACCAGGTAATATTCATCAAAATACTTTTCTTTCTTTCATAAGATTACATTTTAGGTATTTGCCGAGCGTGATATCCTCACTATGGCAGATAATCCTTTTGTGGTGTCTTTCTACGGCTCTTTCGAGACTCGACATCATCTCTGCATGCTGATGGAATACGTAGAAGGTGGAGACTGCGCAGCGTTATTGAAAAGTGCTGGCACTTTGCCAATCGATTTAGCTAGGTAAAAATTTTTTAATTCTATGAAGTACGGAATCAAAAAAATGTTATATCTTAAGGTTATATGTAGCGGAAACTGTACTGGCAATTGAATATCTGCATTCTTATGGAATCGTGCATAGAGATTTGAAGCCTGACAAGTAAGCTGTTCTAAATGGAACTTATTGCTGTTGTTTCTTTTTTTTAATCAGCATTCATCTGCTATTGCTCGACATAAATATGTTCTCTAAGTCTTATTCCTCATCTTTCTTGATCTGCTGTCTTCTCGCTCAATGTTCAGAGTTTTTTTTTGCTTAAATTTGCCAAATCAACTGCGTTTTTGCATAAAACTGAGAAAATTATTGGACATCTGGAATTACTCATTTATTTCAATCCATCTATTTAGCTGCTTGTTCAAACAGACACCACTGATTCTCTTTTTATCAAATCCGAGAAAAATGTCATATAGGAAAGTCTACTTTCAGTCTACTGATCACAGCAATGGGTCACATAAAATTGACGGACTTCGGATTGTCAAAAATTGGGCTGATGAATCGGACCACACTCGTGGCAGAGGGCTTTGAAAACGCCGTCGATACGCATCAATTCAAAGACAAGCAGTTATGCGGCACTCCTGAGTGAGTTCAATTCAAATGTCATTCGACCTTTTTTACCTCCTATAAATCCTTATATCGAAAATGCTTGGTTTAGATACATCGCTCCTGAAGTGATCCTTCGCCAAGGTTACGGTAAGCCCGTCGACTGGTGGGCTTTAGGTGTCATTTTGTATGAGTTCCTTGTTGGATGCGTGCCTTTCTTCGGTGATACACCTGAAGACCTATTCTCGAAGGTGATATCAGGTAATCACTTCAAGCTCTACAATCGCATTTCTCAATTACGAATCTATCTTCTTTAGAAGAAGTTGAGTATCCTGACGGTGAGGAAGCTCTGCCTTCCGAAGCTGAAGACCTGATAAGACGGCTATTGGAGAAAAATCCTGTTGAACGCCTTGGTAAGTACAGCTACCTGTCTTGACGGATTATACGCCTACTATGAGGTTATTATAGGAGCGCTGGTTGGTGCAACCCAGCTGATGGTACACCCATTCTTCGCCACCTTGGACTTCAATACTCTGCTTCGACAGAAGGCTGAATTTGTGCCACAGCTGGAACATGACGAGGACACCAGCTACTTTGACAGTAAGTTGCCTTCAGATATCGTAACAAGGTGGGCCTAATTTGTCCTTTATAGCTCGCTCGGATCGTTATAACCATGATGCTGAATCTTGTGGTGAAGAAGAAACGATGGCGGTGGCAGCAGCCACTCCTATGTTCCATTCATTCTCAACAGCCAGCCCACGACATTCGCTTGTCAACGTTGAACCCCAGGCCGCCCTTCAGGTAGAGCTAATGAAGAAAATTATTGAAAGTTTAGAAGCAAGAGCATTTTTCAGAGCGGCACAAATCAACAAACTGAGCGTTCAAGGAAACCTTCGTCAACTACGCAATCAAGTGAAGATCAGGCAGACTTCATGGATGAAAAGGAGTGCCCGATACCTTCCGTAAGTGGCAGTTATGAGCTTTTGTCTAGCCTCATCAGCACCAAGTACACATGCTTTTGCACTTCACTGAGCTTTCTTGGACCTAGCTTGAGCGCTGTCTAATTATAGCTATAGAGATTTGGACATATCCACAAAAAGTTGTCTGTTCCACTCATACTTTTTCCTAAAGATTTCCCTAAAAATTTTATATTCCAGAATAAGCTCTCTTCTCATTTTGCTAGTCTGCTTAATCCATCAAATCCTAATTGGGATCAAGAAAGGGTAAACTCTGTCCCTGTGTTCGGAGTGATGAAGTCAATTGTTTCTTCTGAGATGACCAAGATTGTCAGTTTTCTGTCAGCGGGTTGGGTAGCTTCCTTATCCCAATATGTTTTCTTTGTGTATGATCTACATAAAAATGTATACCATGCAGAGTTGTTCAGGCTTATACTCTTATCTTATCATTTCTGGATTTTGATTCTCTTCTTTACCCCCTCCCCGGCTTTACCCGTGTTTTCCTTTGTTGGACCGACTGGTCTCAAATTCGATTAATTTTCTGTATATCTTTAGGCTATGCTTCTAAGGCGACGATTCTCTGCTCAGCGACAAGCGAATGTTTCAACATCTTCTAGTGGTACCACTGGTACTGGTTGTCTGAACACTGCATGTTCTTCCACCGATAGCAGCATGGATGCTTCACATGTGAGCACAATCGTCGTTGGAATGGATTCTAGAAGGTAAGAAATAATTTGGTTATTTCTGACTCAAGAAAATGGCTGATCTTTTAGGTCACCTCTGCCTCGATTCGCCATTTCTTGCGATCCAGATGAGCATCATCACACTTCAACTGAATCTAGAACTAGCAAAGAGTTGTCTCCCGTCGACGAAACTGTGCGATTTAGGGTTGGTCTTTTTTGCTTTGTTCAGCCATGAAGTTGAAATCTTGCCCTATAGGCTCATCCACCATCTCCGTTGCAACTCGTGATCCCATCCACTTCAAGCTCCACTACCCAAGCCGCAAGTTCAAGCAGTAATGACACTTGCTATGTGGTAAGTATGCGTATGCCATAAATAGATGTAATTTGAGTCTGTACCTTGTTAGGTGTCTGGAGGCCAGCTTTCTCCTGGTGCTGCCTCGGCTTCTTCCGTATCATCATACGATGGTGCTTCCCCACATCCAATCCATGGCGAGCAGCTAAGTCCAGCTCAGTCCTTAAGTAAACCTCCGATTACGATCAGGTTAGTGTAAGAATCAGCGAAACAGTTATCAGGTCATATATACTTTCATATTCAGAAAGGGACCATTTGGATTCGGTTTTACTCTGAAATCTGTTCGAGTTTATCTTGGTGAACACTCGGATTATTATACCATCGAGCACATAGTGACAGCTGTAGTAGAAGGTAAAAGCATTCTGCAATCTTTCTGTTTCTGTTTTTGCTTGGGTACCTTTTTTTTCTGAGGCTAAGAATATTTCTACACATAACAATCTCGTAATATTCAATTTTAAATTTGTACCATTTATTTTTCTTTTTGCGTATTTAAATGGCATGATTTTTCTTCTCACTCAGAATGAGGTTTTTGTAGGAAGTCCTGCCTATGAAGCCGGTCTGCGCAGTGACGACCTGATCACTGCCGTAAACGGACAGGCAGTCTACAATCTCACTCATCCCCAACTCATGCATCGTCTGCTAAGCTATGGCAATGAACTGACATTGAAGGTACCAATTGTTTCGAAGGACAATGCATATCAGTCGCCCGAGAGCAATGTTGCAAAATTATTCCATTTTGGAAAAATGTCGATTTTCGTTGTAGGTCACACCGTTGTCTGCCACTTCGATCAAAGAGGGTGCCCCCAGAAAAACATTAGGTAAACTTGCTAAGAAGAAACCAAAAAGACCTCAACGTCGAGTCCCGCTTGAGAAGAAGCCAAGGTATGTTGGGATTGATTGCAACAACTTATTCATGTTCATATCTTTTCACAGTATCGCTTTAGTGTGGAATTAACAAGCATATGCTCCAATCATTTATGACGAGACGCAGGAAAAAAGAAAATTTTTTGCAGTTTCTTTCAAACATTACATCAGCAGTTAAATGCTTTGAGAAATAAAATGACTTATCAGACGCTGATTTTGTTATACCGATGGCGAATTTTCAAACGGTTTTTTGTGAATTTTCTTTGACATTAATTCATTTGAATTACACCTCAAAAATATTTTATGTTCGTCTGCGCGTCCGAAGATCTAATTCTTTCAGAAAACCGTCTTCCTTGCTTCGTCGTCTGAGCGGAAAACGTGCCACCAACGACATCGTGCCTGGAAGTTCTAGCCAGAAACAGACCTTTATGCCAAGGTATTGCACTTTCCTTTTAACGGTATCATGTGGTTTTAACATTTTTAGATATCAAGATCTTCGTTAAATAGGTCAGGAAATTTGTGTTCAGGTCGGTCTCCAGTCAAGATGGCGCCATACTTGGTGGTCCACTTACCACTACCACATGTCCTCCATGTGCGAGTACGTCAACATCGGGAACAGCAGTCGCTTGTCCAAAATCCACCTGCCACAAACGACTTTCGGATGTTGGTCTCAGAGAGGAGAATCGGTAAAACTTTAGTGTACATGGCTGTCAACTTTGAGACGGAATATTTTTTTGCAGTTCTCCATTAGTGTCATCACGGCCATCGTCCCTGAGAGGTTTGAAGCAGCCACTGCCGCCACCATTGACCCCCGGAAGTTCTGCATCAGCCACTCTAAACGTGAAGATGCCAACGTCCCCCATACCAGTGAGTCCATTGGCAAGAACGGAACATACGGAAAGTGCTCCTGCGGGTCCGATTGTGACAAGGTGAGGTCGTCCTCATTTTTTATCTGTGCTATAGAAGTTTGGCACAATCAGTTTTTAGCTACTATTACTTTTAATTGACATCGTAATTTTGATAGTGCTATTTTGAGTACTGGTGGGCACAACTGCTTTCACCTCTTATGAGGCGGCTGGCTCCAAAATTGAACATCATTTTCATCTGAATGAGGGTGTTACTGCTTCTGCTGCAATTTAGTTTCATCAAAATAAATTTTTCTCTAAATATTGCTAGAGCCATGGTATCTCGGGTTTTGACAGCGCAGGTAAACAAGCGGTAAAATAGACAATAATTGTTTAAATCTTTTCTATGATTTTCGTCCTAAAACTTTGGTTTCACAGATCTCCAAGTCCTTCATCAAGCAATAAATTAATGGCGAGTGGTCGATCATTATTACGGATGCTGCATCGGGACGAGAAACATGATCCAAGTAGCGGTAAACACTGACTTTAGAGATGTAAATGCCGTGAGAGCGCTTGTGTAATATGTATCTTCACAGTGTATTGAATTATGTATTTGGTTTCTTCATGTATTTTCTAGCGTACTGTACATCGGGTAAAGTGACTGTCAAAGTCTCTTGTGAACGTTTTTCGTGTAATGTACGGATTTACAAATCCCAAAGCGTGTTCTGTGAATGTTTCAGCATACTCATTTTCTTCCAAAGATTAGTTTCAACGACTAAGAAGCATCTCTGTGTTTTTCTTCTGACGATCACTATATTTTCTTCGCTGTACATAGCTTTATTTATACTTGTTTCTGTGCATAGTTCATGCGCATTTAAGCGTCCTTTTGTACCTATCCTCTCTGCTGCTGAACCGTATTGTTTTGCTTTCACTCACAATCGTCTTCAAAATTTTTACTTTCTGTATTACTGCTCTGTTTCAATACACGCAGAGCAGCTTATATATCTGTTCGGAACGACCAGCAATCAAATCTGTTTCTGCTTTTCTTGGCGGGTGTGCTCTGTGTTTTCTTCAATAATTTTGTGTCGATTCGTCGCCCTTTCCCTTGCGCGTAGTCTTTTCTTGCTTTGTCAAATCAAACACTAATGTTTTCAATCCTACTCGCTACCGATTTCGCTAAATTTTTGTTACATCTGATAAAGATTTGCATGAGAATCGGAGCGGACATTCACTCTTGGAAGGGATTGACTCCATTCAAACTGCGGTTTATGCGATAAGTTTTGCGGTGTGTTGTTGGTCTTGATCATCACGGAATGCTTTTCAGTTAGAGTCACAAGTGGAAAAACTCATTCTGAAACAAACATAGAAGTCTTCGCATAGATCTTATGATCATTTGAGCATCACAACATGACGTTATGTCATTTTTGATACCAGCATGGCTACGACCGAACCGCCGGTATGTGCGAACAGTCATTAGTATGACCAAGTTCACCCTCCAACATCAGCAGCAGTTGCAACATGTTGCAACACCCATGGGTAGGCGAACGAATAGCCGCCAGCTTCGGTCGCTTGCGCGGACTGCTGGTCCTGGAACGACATGCAACAACGTTGCGTTGCGAAAGGACCAGTTAGCCGCGAAAGGCGGCTCAAACTGGCGGCTTTTGTTCCCCTACCCGTAGCAGTTGGGTCTGATTTGGATGCTTTCTAAGCGACTGAAACATGTCAGCGAGAAGGTTTCTTCCGGATTATCATGAGAACCAGTGGGTCACCTCTGCTTCGCAGAGGATCGCATTGGTTTTGCTATCTGAATGCCCTGCTCATTCTCGCATAATGCTGGAATCGAAGCTCACCGCGCAATGCCGATTATCACAAATAAAGTGTAAACAGCTACTCCGAAAGTTTTTTCATGTGAAGTCGGTAATTTCGCCTGCATGGAACTTCTCCCAAAAGAACAAACGCAGATTTGAATAGGTTTTTTTTTTATTTTTTTAAAGGTTTTGGCAGCCGCCATAAGAACAGTAGTCACAGTCAGCTACATTTTTGTGCAAAAATCTCAAATGCTTTGGTAAAACCTTGACAAGTTGATCATTTACGCAACCAATTTTCTGGCGCCGTTTTTATAAAACAGTGGATTTTTGATCACTTTTTTGGGCCTAACTAAATGGCTTGCACATTTACTTGCCATACACCTCCACGCCACGGATCTCCCTCATAGAGGGATCACAGCCGGTTAGTCGCGAGGCTACGTGGGGCGTCCCCAGGTGGCGGATAGGGGGATAATCGCCGACCAAAAGCGACCCCGCGCCTGCTCTGATAAGCAAGCGGAGCCGCGGGACGGACTCCCTGCCTCTACTAAAAGCTTGCGCCCTAATTTCCCGGGTAGGTGTGTGGGGAGGCGAGTCGGAGTCGCTTCCAACAAATAAGCTCCGATGGTCCCTCGCGGGGGTTTTGAGCCCAACAAGTTATCCCTGCGAGTAAATTCTTGTTCGACACAGTGATAATATGGAAAGCTCCTTTAATCTTGGAAGAGCCACTGGTAAGGCAGCGCCAGTGGGGACAAGGTTTGAAAGGCGATCTAGGCTGCCGAAAACGAGACGGACTATGATGACTTTCTGTACTTACAACGCGAGGACGCTGGCATCGGACGCACCTATCGAAGATCTCATGATGCAAGCAAGGAAGATTAAGTACGACGTCATCGGACTGACCGAGACAAGGAGGCACCACCCGCTGAACGCCACATTTGAGACTGGAGAAGAACTGTTTCTAGGAACATGCGACAGTCGAGGAGTAGGTGGAGTGGGAGTCCTTGTCAACACGAGTTTGGCCATGAACATCGATTCGTTCGAACAACTTACAACTCGAATCGGACGTTTGCGAATATCAAGATGTGGATCAATCCCTGCCCTAACCGTCTTCATTGCATACGCCCCAACATCCAGCTACGACGAGGACGAACTCGAGGAATTTTATATGGACTTGGAGAAGTTCTACAGAGAAGATCATACCTTCTACAAGATCATCGTCGGTGATTTCAACGCGAAGATCGGAACTAGAAGGTCGACTGAGGAACTTCACATCGGAACCCATGGTTTGCAGTGGAACGAACAAGGGGAGAGACTGTCCGAGTTTATCATGACGACGAGGACTATCCATGGAAACTCACAGTTCCAAAAGCCCTCTTCCCTACGCTGGACCTGGGAATCGCCCGGTGGAGAGTACCATAACGAGATTGACCACATCATCGTCAACAGAAGGTACTGCCTGACGGACGTCGCTGTTGTTCCGAAGTTCTACACGGGATCAGACCATCGTCTCCTGCGCGCCAAATTCTACTTTCCGCGGAATGGAGAGAGAGCCGTCAAGTTCAGGAAACATCGTCCCATGAATACCACCAACTGGGATCTGTTTTCTTCGATATCCGGCTCATGGCGAGATACCGTGATGGACAACATCGACAAAGAATACGAACGGTTCGTACAACATCTCCACGGTTGTGCCAAGGAAGCTCAGAGTCTAAGAAGTACGAGAAGGCGTCTCACCACGGGGACTTTGGAGCTGATACGCCAATGTGGACGCGCACGAGCCACAGGCAAGTACCGACTGACGTCCGAGCTTGCGAAGCGATGCAGAGAAGCGATAAAAGAAGACCTTAAGGAGAGAAGAGTAGCAGTGATGGTTGACGCCGCGGAGGCTGGAAGAAGTATACGCAACGCCCGCCAAAGCTTCGTCAACTTCAAGACAAAGATGACCGCACTTCGTCGTCCTGACGGAACCATAACTGCTTCCCGAAGATCAATGGAGAAGGTCATCCACGACTTCTACTCGGATCTTTTTGCGAGCCACGTCCACCTTCCACCATGCCATCTCAAGGAGGACGAGTATGTCGCACCGTCTGTTCTTCCTTCCGAGATTCGTCATGCTATCATGTCGATGAAAAACCGTACAGCATCCGGTCCCGACAGGATTAAGCCAGAACATCTGAAGAATCTTTCGCCAGTTCTCATCAAGACTTTGGCAAGGCTCTTCACGCTGTACCTGACGGAAGGCAAGGTTCCAAGGCAATGGAAGACCAGCAAAACCGTGTTGCTGTACAAGAAGGGAGATACTGCGACATCGGCAATTATCGCCCTATCTGCTTAATCTGCTTGTTGTCTGTAGTCTACAAACTCTTTACGCGAGTCATTCTAAACAGGATCGGAAGAGAGTTGGAGAAGGACAACCATGCGAGCAAGCTGGGTTTCGAAGAGGATTCAGCACGATCGACCACATACACACGGTGTCAAGGCTCATTGAAGTGTCACGAGAGTATAAGATGCCGCTCTGTCTCACCTTCATCGACTTGAAGAAGGCCTTTGACTCGGTTGAGACTGAAGCCGTCATCGATGCCTTGAGCAATCAAGGTATTCCGACTCATTACATCAAGATAATTCGTGAGCTGTATAACGACTTCACAACCACCATAACACCATTCTACAAGGACACCATCATTGACGTGAAGAGAGGCGTGCGACAAGGCGATACTATATCGCCGAAACTATTCAGTGCCGCTCTGGAGAACGTCATGCGTAAGTTGGAATGGGACAACATGGGAGTGAAAGTCGACGGCCGGCAGCTACACCACCTTCGCTTTGCTGATGACATCGTATTGATAACACCAAGCATCACGCAGGCGGAACAAATGCTGGCCCAGTTTGACGAAGTGTGTGGAAAGATCGGTCTACGGCTGAATCTAACGAAGACGATGTTCATGAGGAACGGAAGAGTGCCTGATGCTCCTTTCATGCTCAACGGGACGAACATCACCGAATGCTCAAGCTACACCTACCTAGGTCGTGAACTCAATATGATAAACGATCTAGCTCCGGAACTGAGCAGGAGGAAACGTGCAGCATGGGGAGCATATAAGACAATTGAGGACGTAGTGAAGAAGACCAAGAACATCCGGCTCCGCGCCCACCTTTTCAACTCGACGGTTCTTCCTGCTTTGACGTACGCTTCAGAAACATGGACAATGAGAAAGCAGGATGAACACGCGGTTAGCGTCATCGAACGAGCTGTTGAGAGAGTGATGCTAGGAGTGAATCGACTCACGCAAGTGAGGCAAGGATTACGAAGTCTACCCTACGTCAACGATCGAAGATCAGGGACGCTGCCGCGTACGCCAAGCAGAACAAGATAAGATGGGCCGGGCACGTAATGCGTTTCGACGACAACCGGTGGACGAGAGCTGTAACAGATTGGATACCACTGGACGTCAAACGCGAACGAGGAAGACCGCCGACGCGATGGTCAGATATGTTCACGAAGTCCTTTAATGAAGTCCTTCAGAGCGTTCCACGTGTTCCTGGTGCGATACGTAAACATTGGTCAACAATCGCCCGAGACAGGGACGAATGGAGGCATCACTGGTACCCGCTCGTGCAACACGATGATCAACGGGGATACAGGTGATACAGGTGATACACCTCCACGATTCTGCAAAAAGAGGAATTACGGACCAAGTTTTGCCGTCCAGAAGCCAAGTGGATCCGTTTGACGTCTCATTTATGAAGGATCCGCTGAACGGATCTGCTCATGCTTTGGTATATTGGACCTACATGCTGGGGACAGGTGTTGTGCAAAAATTGGGCTCAGAATGTTGGCTGGCAACCGTTCCACGAATTTCGTGATAGACAGACAGACTTACAAAAACACGCAAACAACCCTTAACCCGTTATTATAACTCGAAATATTTGAAAAAGCCGAAATGCGTGGTAAGGAGTACAGGGTTGGGGAAACCAGTTATGGCCTTTGGAGTGCTACTACCGTGTTGGTCTCCCCTCCGCCCACAACGTCATCATGGAAAGTTTTCTTCTATGAAAAAGATTCATAGCAGGTAGGTTTAGGCTCACTCAACAGAACGGCTCGGGATCGACCACGTTTTTGTCAACCGAGAATAGAGCTTGCTGATGTCTTACTGGGGAAGAATCCTAACTTGCACTGGCAATCTAGTAAATGCACATCATTAGACGCTTCTTTTGAGCTGCATCCAAATCTAGATTTCATATCTGTGAAGTTTTCTGGAACAAGTCATGAGTATTTAGGGGTCCAAATTTGGCAATTCAATGCCATAATTCAGAAAACAGTTCAGGCAGGGCTCGGCACGGTAGTGGCAAATGTCATGGAAATCGTTTTAGGGTAAAAGCGAAGGGGACATTACGCCCACTCCTC